TGTGTGTGTGTGTGTGTGTGTGTGTGTGTGTGTGTGTGTGTGTGTGTTTTGTAATACTAATATATCCCATTTAATATTAGTTTTAGTTTTAGGCAATTTTATTTTATAACAATTACATTTCATTTTGACTATATTTATGAGAATATTTTTATTAGAAGTACATACCTTCAAAAAAAAAGAAAAAAAACTGTTATTAATTTATTTTATTATAGTAAAAATATACAAAAATCTAAAAATCTATATTTATAATTTATATATCACAAAAATACTTCCAAAAACATAAACATAGGAGATATTGAAATATCTAATATTTATAAATTCTGATAAAATATATTATTTATTCGGAATATTTTACGAGCTACTCTGTTTTGATAGACTTATAATAATCATTAAACTTGATTTTTAATTAGATTTTATAACGGTTTGAATTTATATATATTTTGTGGATTTTAATTTTATTAAATACGCATAATGAACTATTGTATTTCATTTTCAACGGGTAAGATAAACATCAAGTGATTTTAATTTTTTACAATAAATTCACCTAGATTTTCAATAAAAATTCATATATATTATACTGACTTCTAATTTTTGAAATTAGGGATTTTCAGTAATAATAGTTTGTATGCAGTGCCGCAATTAGGATTCTTGGGGACCTGGACACAATTAATTTACGGGGCCCTGAGCGGAAAATCCAGCGATTTTTTTTGTTTCATTTTCTTTTTCTATTTTTCGTTTTCTTTTAGCAGCTTCGCTTAAATACTGCATTAAGGTTGATATAATTTCTAAAACCCGCAAGATTACTATTTACCAATAACCAAGACTCGGAACTTTAGGCATTTGCATATTTGTCTAGAAAGTGCATATTGAAATTCTAATTCGATACAAATTCGATTCATAGTATGTACATATATTTCAGATATAAAAATTTTTGTTGCATAATTTTGCATACTTTATTACTTTTTGTACCAATTCGCATATTTTAGGTTTAAGAACATTTATATGCATATTTCATAGATTTAACAAAATTGTTTAAAAAAATTTATAGTTTAATAATATAATATTAGACATATGACAGCTAAAATTCTAAGTTTTATAACATTTGACAAAATAAATAAATTCATTAACGGCTATTATTTGTATTGATCCAGCTTCCAATGTGCTTAACAATAATATTATAATCTTTATAGTACCGAGTACTCGTCATAGTGACAATCGCTGCCCCGTATTTATTTTTGTACAAATTCACTACTGTATTAATATTTTGTAACATGACATAAACAAATTATATAACCATAGGTAATTCGTAAACAATTATGTTTAAACATTAGATTATTGGCTTGTACACAATATTATTTTTGTTCGTAATAATACTGCGTACATCTGCATGCAAGCGACTTCATTGTACAGTGTACATTAGTCAGTAGTCAGTTTATTATTTTTTAAGCAATTATTTTTCAATTTTTTACTGCATATTATACCGCATATTTTAGTATTTTTTAGCGCATAAAGTTCCGAGCCTTACTAATAAATAATTAGGTATAATATTTTTGAGACGTGAAAACGATGAGACTATGAGAATATCGTCACTCAGACAGTCGGACAAGCAATAATGGGGGGGCGAAGTCTAGCTCGCTACATGCCTATATAAATATGCCACGAACAGCGATTACAATAATTATTTCGGGAATCCCAATGGTATGTATAAAAATAACTTATTGCATAACACTATAATATATTATTTATAATAGTATAGCTTATAGTATATAAATGTGCGATCCAGAGGGCCCCGTTCTGATAAAATTGTAATTAATAAAAATAATAAAAATATACAATCATATAATTATAAGAATCAATGCATCAAATAATTTTTATGTAATTTATCATAATGAAATTATTTAGAGGGAGGTGGGACCCCGAAATCAACCACAAGAGGCTTTTTTACAGGGACATTGCCCCTGTTGCCCCTGCGGTTTTTGTGGCACTGTTTGTATGTCTCGAGTTTGATTTGCTCGACAGTGTAATTTTAAAAACTAATCAAGATTACATCCATTCTCAATAATTTTATCCTGTTTGTTTACATAATAAGCATATATTATTATATTGTACAATATACGTGAATAAATTTAGTCTTATAGTAATAATTACAATAAATCATAAAAATTTGAATTACGTGGGACAGAAAACGTTTTATATATTATGGCTACAATTATGTATATTATGTGTAGAAACAAAATAACTATAGAAAATTGAGGTAATTCAAACATATCAATATTTATTGAACAATACATTTATTATTATAAACATTATTTTGTCCAGCACTGAATGCGCTAAATGTACTTAAAATTTAAACATAAAACATATTTATGGTAACATATTTTCAAAACATATATTAACATTGAATCAGGGGAACAGGTGCATATTATTATCAAAACACAAATGCTCACGATCATAATTATTTGAACGTAAATATGTGGAAAATCACAGCATCCTATGAATAACTTTGAAATTACAACATTTTTTAATTTTTTTTTTATTAAATATCGTAAAAAACAAAAATAGTTAAAAATATTTTTTTGTTCACTTATAAGAAACATTAATTAAAACCTTATAAAAACAATAAAATTATATTTTAAAATTGATTTTGCGGAAATATTTTTAAAATTTTGACTAAGTACTCAATAAAGTATATTTTAACTTTTTATAGAAATGTACTATTTGATAAGTAATGCAATTTGTTCGTTTGCTATTTTTGTCAATATCAATACATCGTAATCCTTAATTTTATACTCCGGATAAATATTTATTATGATTGAATATTTCATTAACACTCAATGAACTAACACTGTGCCGCAATGGCGCCGATCCCTATATCCAAGTATGGCGATTGCCATAGTGAATTATGTGGTGAGTGGGTACTGGGTGCGGGTGGTCATCGTTTCTGCCAAAAAACTTGATTTTCGTTTCCACCAAAACGAAAAGGTTCGATTTTTCTTTCCGCCAAATCTATTTCTACTTATATTATTGTGATGGCGTTTGAGAACCCCTTGTTTATCTCTAATTTTATCGATTATCGATATATATCGAGATTCGGGATAAGCCATCATTTTATATTGAAAATATATAAAAGATAATTGATTTTACGTTCAATAATTTCCACACATTTTAAATTAATATAAATCGAACTATATAATATTATAAGTCATAACCAAGGCTCGAGACTTATATCACTTAAAATCATTAAAATAAGTGTTCAAAAACATTATTATAAGCACTAAAATAGGCATTTAAAAAATTTAAAATTAAGCAAAAATATTTATTAAAAAAAATAAAAAAAGTATAAAGTTCTAACTAAAAAATTAAAAAAAAATAAAAATAAATCTTTATTTTCAAGATTTTAAGGATGTTATGAATTTTCTAAGGGATTTTTCTGAAAAATAAAATGTAAACTGTTCTCTCTGTTCTTGATCATCCTGACGTTTGACACTCAGTTCTATTTTCAGCGTTGGAATATTTTTGTTAACCCTACAACGATACCTAGAACGGCGACGAACTACGTGACAACGTAGATAGATAAGAATTATTTTTAATTTTAATTGTATCGAAAACGACTTTGCTGGAGAAAGCTATAAAAACGTAAAAAAAACTGATCAAATAAGCAAAAACAATCAGAAAAACTGGAAATAAGCATTTTCTTGAAAAATTGCTGAAAAAAGCAAAAAAAAAAATGCACTTTCAAATTTCATAATTGTACGTGTTTTAACTTGACATACACTTCTATAGCACTCTCCTACATTTTAAGTCAATTCATAAAAATAAGCAAATTCTCGAGACAACTCCCGAGACCTGGTTATAAGCTATATCATGCGTAGTTAGTGTCTGTGTTATCGGGATTGGAGTTCTGTGGTCGAATATGTCAGTACTCTGACAACATAGCAGTGTGAATTGTGAATATTATTCACTGAATAATATACGTATTTATTGAATATATTAGAATTTATATTTATATATATTTTATACATTATTCTGTAGGATGTAATATATAAAAAACGATTAATAAATACAAAAAACGCAACAGAAGAATATAAAAATAAAACATTTTTAAGAATTACGTTTTTTAAAAAAGTATGCAACAATTATTTGAAATAACAAATAATAAATAATTAATAAAATTATAAGAAATATTTAGCTATATATATAAATACAAATTTAATTATAAAATTAAATTGAAGTTCAAAAATATGAATCCGAAAATTAAATCAAACAATTTTTAGGGGGTCAATAAGAATTGCCTCTCCGTGGAGGCTCCTAGGTAACTCTAAATGGTTCTCAAACTATAATTTAGACAGTTGTGTAGAAATAGATTTGGCGGAAACGAAAATCAAATTTTTTGGTGGAAACGACTGACGCCCCTGGGTGCGGGGTAAATAATTTGTTTTACTGCATAAATGCATAATAATGCCTATTACATTGCCTAAAACTGATCAGTATGAACGTGATATATTTTAATATTAATATAAATAATGGTAGTGGACCTAGGACTTATTGGTGAGGAGGGAGACTTAAAAATAAATATTATTTAATATATAAAGTGAACAGTTATATCGGCTATATCATAAATTATTGATGTCACAATATGAAAATAGATATAATTTTAATTATGTATTAATATCAATTTTGAGTACAATATTACGGTAGGGTTTCAGTCCCCCCCCCCCCGTTTACAACAATTGGTTGGTGGGTAGGTACTATTAAAATTTAATATTCGCCATACTGCATTTTTTTTAGTTCAGCGCCACTACTGTGACGAAGGTTTATTAATTATTTTAAAAATAAAGATTTATAATAGAGAAAAGTGTAATTCACCATTAAGTTCACTACTACTACCGCCCATACTATTTATTCGCAAGCTTTAAATAATTGTAAATATTTAATTCTAAAGAGAATTATTCTGATACATGAATATAATAAAATGGTTGTCACGTTATAAAATAATGAAATTATATTAATATATGAAGTAAAATATCAATAGTATTTTTTTTATTTTTTTTTTTTTGATAAATGAAATAATAGTATTATACTAGTTGAGTTAACTTCCGTTGACTAAGAAATATTTTACTACATTCAATTAAAGCGGTGATTTTTAAAAACGAAATATAAAATAGGAATTACAAAAAAAAAAAAAAAAATAAAAATATTGGGTTGAAATAAAAAACAGAAAACCCATTGTTTATTTTAATGATATGAATTTTTATATACTTATACTATAATAATTTACAAATACCTCAATCGATAATAATTAAAATCACCATGTTATAAAAAATAAAATACCTTTTTTTGTAATGAAAATATGAAAAATCTGTCTAAAAACTGTTTCAACGTCTATATTCTTTCTAATAGCGCAATAAGAGTATATATACCGGATATATATTGTTATTAATGAGTAAAAACGATTTGGATATTAGTACTTTAACTGTTTCAATTCGTATTGTTTGTACAAGTGTACGGTACTCAACAAAAATCTGTATTTTTAAGTTTACCTCTTCTAATGTTTTGATTATTAATACATTGTAAATTTTAGAAAAAAATAAGTCACTGATCGTTTATCATTTTCAATAAATAACTATAGCTACCAAGCAATTCGTAAATATTTAGAACTGTTTACAAAAAAAAAAAACGTGCATCGAAATTTACATTCACTGTTATGTACTGTAAATTTAACTAACAAGAGATCAGATAAAAATTTACCGATATAATTTAAGTTCATGTATAAGTATAGTTAAATAAAAAGTTAAAATTAAATTTGAACAAAAATCAGAAAATTATATTTTTGTTTAAATATTCGACTCACAATCTTATTAAAATTTCAAATATTTGTGGAAATATAAAACTTTTATACGTATAATTTCATTCGATGAAAAATCTTATGGAGAGTTATTTCACAATAAACTGTGAATAAACTGTAAATAAACTCTTAATATAATTTAAAGTTAATTTTGTGTCTTAAGACACTGACGGTTTGTAATTTATTTTATTGAAATTCCACTTCGGAGTTTATAAAAACGGGTTTTTTTTTAATCACTCCTCGGTTACTTATAATTTATAAATAAATAAAAAATTATTTACATAAATTGAAATTTCATTTTAATTATTTATATTTTTAATATGTAAATTAACTCTTTGGTTATTAAACAAAACTTGAATATTTTTAATTAAAAAAAATAAAAAACTTCTTAAGTAATCAAATTAAATATTTGTGTAAAATAATCATTATTATTTCCATTATGATGGTGTAATGTTATATAATAACAGTTTAATATGTGAATAGAAAATAAATGGACTTGATGAAAATCTGGAAAATCTTATGATTTATCATGGTGCACGTCTATTAATATAATTTTGCTGTACTTCCAATAATTTTGTAATCAGTTTATTATTCATAGATAACTAGAGTTTTGAGACATCAATGAGACATCTTAAAAGACTGTGCACTATGGTTTCCTGGGTTTAATGGCGTATCACCGAATAGTTTCGAACTAAAATTGTGTACCTATATTGCTCAAGTATAAACTTTCCGAAGCGATGGTTTCATAACGATTCCGTGAAAGTCATAGACCCTGTTTTCATAGCTTTACCAGGCAACAAGGAGATATAATGCAATTACCATCCTTACTTTGGAAATATAAAAACAGTAAAAATCTAAAACAACTGACAGTCTAACTGTCTAACTGCAAACTGTCTTAACAAATAAATATCTTTGTTTAAACGGCAAATAATTTACCAAGCAAGTTTATGATAAGCACTGTATATTTTTTCTAATATACAAAAATAAATAATATATGCGATGAGAAGGTAATATTAATAAGGGATATAATTCAATTAATCAAGTTAAATTAATTTTAACCGAGCGTAAAAGAGTGATGATATTATTTTTTTTTTTTACGGGAGTGAAAATAAGAGAAATTAATAATTATAGAACTTTTTAATTATTTAATTTCAAAGAAAAAGTATAGAAATAGAAGAAGGGAGAAGATTTTTTAAAACTGTTGTTAAGAGGAGTAGTTATGGTTTAATTAACACTCTAAAATCGTTGATAAATTTAGAAATCCAATTTTTGGGCGTAGCTGATTGTGTTTCGTTTGTAATATGATATTGACGTATGATTGTTATTGTTTCTGATTTGAGCTGTTTTTTTTTGAGTAGTAATGGATGGTTGGAGGTACCAGGATGTATAGTTTAAACTGTTTAGGCAAGTATAAGTAGAATTCGATATTTTCACTATTGGTTAGATACTTGTAAACTAAATTATCTTAACACCTCTTGATAAAATAAAAAGTTCTCGGGGAGAGAGGTTTAACAATTTTATGTGACAAAACTTTGCCTTTTTGTTATTGGTTTTTATAAACGATGATGATGATGATAAAGAAAAATTGCGTTTAGAAATATTCCGAACATGTTTGGATTTAAAAATAATTTATATAGATTCATTAGTAAAATACAAAATATGATAGCGGACGAGCGCAATGCACGTCTGTTCATGATGAAAGATCGCCAATAACTGATAATAGCATATATTATTTTGTTATATACAATTATTTTTTTTAACGATAATTATTCTATAGTTGAACCGAATATTTAAAATGATAAATCATATTCCATAACAAAAGGGTATCACATTTTAATGGAGACAATAATTTGCATTTAAACATTGTTTGTTTTACGTGTGAATAAGGTGATTTATTAGTGTTTGTGACTTTTAGATAATTAAAAATGTAAGCGAATAAATTATGGAAACTCAAGGAAATTAATCTTGGGTTGAAGCATGACAAACCTTATAATGACCACATATATTTGTCGTATACTTTGATCTTTTATACTTCACTTCTTTAACATTTTAGGCTAAAAAA